ATGTAAGGCAGAGGCCCAAGAACATTTTATGTATTTACCTGGCTGTTTCAGTACGTTTTTGGACGAGACTACTAAAACCCATGTGAATGGTTTTGCTAGATCATGTGAAATGTGAATTGACCAGAAATACATGGTTCCTCATTTCCATCTCAAGGCCTATGCTTTTTCCCTCCAATAAACTATTTTGGTTAGTGTAGCTTTGTTAGCTTCTGGTGAGTCTAGACGTTTCAATCTTTTGCCTTTGACAGAAATAACACTGAATTTAGATTGCTTTAAGCATATTACCTCAACATGATAAATCTAATACATAAACACAAGATTTCCACTTTTGGACTTAAATCACAATTTCATTTTCAGTGAACAAGTTTTGCACACCTTTGATAACATTTTTGAAGTCATTGTAATTCCTAACATTTCATTTGTTATAAAACTTTGGTTTTGTATCTTATAACTTTAATTAGGTGGTTTGTGAGTTCTCTACAAGCTTCTATGTCACTCCAAGTTTAATATCTTCCCATTTCAAAGATTAAACTTTATGTAGCTGTGTCATTTGTGTATATGCCATACTTGGACAAATACTCACTGAAGCCAGAAAGGGGGGGGGTGTCAAAGTCCTCAAAGCTAGTGGTTGTGAGCTGCTCATCATGGTTGCTGGGCTTAAGTGCTAAGTCATCTCTCCAGCCTGGTGGTAAAAAGTCCACTAGGAGGCTACTCTCTTCAGTCTGTTGGCTACCAAACTCTTGAAAGGTACTCATCAGCTGATTTCAAACCACTTTAAATACTCTGGTTTTTCCAGGACCACCTGTTTTGGCTACATTCACCTAAGCTTTACTTCAAATTTCTTTCTCTAAGGGAGTTTTGACAACAGCAAAATTGAAGGTAATGGACTTCTAATCAAGGATGATTCATAAGGACAATTTGACACTAGTTAGTATGGTGTGAAGCCATGAAAACTAACAATTACCACCTAGGACTTGAAAGAGCTCAAGGCAACTTCCCTGGGTATGTTTCCTGCTTTGTTTTAAATTTTGTTTGGGCTTGAGAATGCTCCTAGAGCCCCATGGGGTCTTGCTATAGAAACAAAGCTGGCTTCTAATTGGTGATGGTCCTGCCTCTACTTCCCAACTGCTAAGATTTACAAGTGTACACAACTGAGTCATTTCTTTCAGAAGAGAGGACATTTTCAAATTATTCCCACAATGTTTTACAAAATTGTCCAGTTTGTAATTATTTGAACTAATAAAAAGTAGTCTATGCTGTGATTTCATCTATAGTACTCTAGAGCTAAGACTCTTAAACTGAGTCAGAATCCCACGTGGTAAGTACTGGGGCCACAAACAAGATCAACAGTAAACATTTACAAAACCACAGCAGCCAAAAGCAAGCAATCCAAAGCCAAGCCTGCAAGGAATCTGGGTGTTTTTGGCAAAGTGCTCTCCCAAGTTATTTTGTACTTCACACTGGTTCTGTGCAACATGTACTGCACATAGCAGCAGGCACACAACCAGCAAATACTTGTTTTATAAACCTTGATCTACTGTATAACCCTAGACTCCTTCTATCTCAAACAGCATCATAGAAAAACAGGAACTTGGAATTTTCCTACCACTACTTATCATGCAATTATCAATTCAGTTTGTGTTGTAATGTCTGATTTTTTAAAAATTGGTTTTACTTGCCAACTTGTTTTAAAACTGTTGAGGAAATTTGGCTTGAGATTAGGGCAAATTTTCCAACAAGTTGTGAAATGAACCTAAATATACTTGTGCCATTATTTATCTTGCATTTATAGGTAGCATTCTCACTGCCAACAATCTGAAATTATAAACTTCTAATAAAACACTGAAGATGCTTTACATCTTGTAGTCACAATACCTGAGCAAGATTCATGCAGAATAGACACCCACTTCAAAATAACTTATCTTCCAAGAACATTTAAAATGAAGCTATGTTTGGTTTATACACCTATATACTCAGAATAAAAAACCTGGGGTGAAAAATAAGCCCTGCTGTGGACAGTAAAAATTAAAATTATCTTTTATATTTAAAAGGTTGTAATCACAAACTATCATCTGTGTAAAAAAAACAAAACAAAAAAAAAAACAACAAAAAAAAACCCTACCTAAAATATCCAAAGCACTTACATTCCAGGATGGACCCAAACCAAAACTAAGTATGCATTACACACAGAGCCGTAGCCCGGATGCATTCTATAAACACTGTATAAAATAAAATGCTCAAGAAATGCCACTCTGACATGTACCATAAGGGAAAAAGCCACATAGCATGTGGTATAAAAGTATCATCTGTCTACATATAGAGAAAAGCATTGTTTGCAGGCACAAAGGTGAACTCAACCAGAATAGTGATGGAGGTGGAAAGAAGTGATATACGTTAAAATTTATGTGATACTATAGATGCTACTGGAAAACCATGATTAGAATGAGCATGGTGGTATATAGTGTATACCTTTAACCACAGGAAGAGGCAGGTATGTCAAGAGTTTGAGGCCAGCCTGGTCTACATTAAGTGAACTCTAGGCTTGTCTCAAATCAAAATCATGGCATGGCACCATTGGTAACATGTGAGATTGCAACAATTCAAAATTTTACAATAGCACTTTATATCACATTGTTAAGATGGTTTATGGTACAACTTAGAATAATCATTTTGATTAGAAAGGAGGATGCCTGTTTTGGATGTCTGAGTACTTACATTTGAAGCCTAAGAGGCAGTTTTGTCTTCAGAGAATCTAGATAGCCAGGTGTACGACAACAGGAAGCTAAATGATAGAAGAGCCCTTTGTTTAACCTAAGCACCAAAGGGATGTTTTTATGTGACACAATCCAATTTGGCTGTGGTAAGTTATAAATTAGAAAAAAAAATGAAAAAAAAAAACTGGCAGAAACTGTTGTGCCTGAGTTAATCATTAAAGAATGCCCTTAAAAACAAAGCTAAAGTCCAAGTATCAAGAAACAGGACAAGTGGCGGCCAGATTCCCAATTTCCCTAAGAAACACTGCACCCCAGAACATTTGCTGCTGCCAAAAGCCACTGATTTTTCTCATTACACTGGGCAAACTATTTTAATTATCTGCTTTACAGTACAATTAAACTTAAACACTAGCATTCTTCAAACCTCGACTTACACTTTGAGAAGTCCGGTAATCCACTAATTAAAGCTCTACAGTTGCAAGTATCTACAGCCAGTCACACACTTCTGCATCATTTGTTGGTCTTTACAAGCTACTAGGCTCCACATTTCAGTTTTTCAGTCAGACATTGGGGCTTGTATTCTAAACCATCAAAAATGGCCATGGTTCTGAATAACTTTGAAAACCACCATACTAATCCTCCCTACACCAGTTTGACACCTGCTTCAATGTTATATTCAAAACTCAAGGTCATACAGTATTAAATTCAAGTGCAGACGTCATGGTAACTGGAATTACTGAGTAAGACCAAAGTGTGTTTAAACACAGACTTTAATGGTAACAATTCCTTTAAGCTCAATTAACTTTAGCTATTACAAGTCTTATGCAGATGTCACTATTAGACAACATTTAGTGACTTGCACTGGGTTCCTCATAAAATAGAAGACAAATTCACTTAAAAGTGTAACCAACAGTCATTGAACAGTTTTATGTGAACACAAAACAGGACTAATTTTAGTTATTACCCACCCCCCAAATTACGAACACAGCATGATCAGTGTCTTAAGTATACTTCAACTAACCCAGTAAATAAAAAGTGAGTGTTTCACTACCCCTGAGACCACTAGTTAACCGTGGTTCATACTTTTAAATGTGAGTACACCCACACAAGGAAACAAAACTAATCGGTTAAAAACAATCTGATTATCACATTGCAAACCTGCCCAAGAAAAAAGTCAAAAGGAAATTCACCATTAACAGGTCAACTGGACTCTAAAGACAAATTGAAATTTAAGAATTTACGCATTAAGTAGTATAGGACACACAAATAGTCTACATCAGTATTTAACCTAATACTTTAGTCCTATACCTGGCACTAGTGATGCCACACACTACTGGGTAGGGTAGAGAGCAAATTCTTGGATTCTTTTGAAAACCTCATCATGGGTGACCCCAAGTCCAGTTCAGTGTCCATACATTCAGAATGTTGGTTTTCCAGGTACTCTGTTCTCTTAAACCTGGAGAAGCCTCTATGGCTTATTCCCTTAGAAGCGACATATGAAATGTATAAAGCATCAAGTCAAAGATAGAGAACTGGACATACCCATTAATTCTGACAATCAATGGTTTAAGAAAGTCATCTCTGTAAAATACCAAAGGTAGTGGTTGGGAGCAATTTGAAAGCCAATTAGAGATCCACTGCTTTGTAAAAATGTTGACTGTTATATCTGGCTTTCAAGACACAGGCCTAATAAAGCTGTTTTGACTACAAGTCTCAGAAAGGATTTCTTTTTTTAAGAGTCAAAGAATACTATTCTTACCCTTGTGGGAACAACTGATTTGAACCCAAAAGTTTTGATTAGCGTGACACTTACCCTGAAGAACCCACAATTTAATAAGCAAAAGGTAAAATGGTGTGTGTGTGTGTGTGTAGAGAAACTCACTGGAAAAATTGTATAGCAGACTTGGTATTTTCCAATGTAAATACTTAATACAGAATAAAGCCAGAACATCTTCAGAAGGCATGCACTTCACTTCATTTAGAGGAGAACCTTAAGTAACAAATCATGTCCAAATTACATATTTAAATGTTTATAAAAAATTAAGCTTTTACATTTATTTCTAGCTTTCCACATCTGTATGCAGACAAGGAATACGATTGCACGTAAATATAAGCAGTGCAAAATATGGAAGTGGACATCACATGTGCTAGAAATCAAATACAAGACTTAGAAATAAAGCAATGGATAAATCAAAGCTAGAAAAAGGTGAACTAGGGTGAAGAATGGTAATGCCCTTATTACTACATAAGATTTAGTGGCACAGATAGCACTTGTCAAACAAACAATCCAACAGCATTGACTTTTTTTTATTCATTCATGTTAAGTCACCCGAAAAGATCTGCTGCATTTAAATGCTCATTAATGTAAATGGCTGAACAAATCCATCTCAATGGATAGTCAATATCCCACAGTTAAGTCACTTCAACACAGCCTCATGACAACTCCCACACCAAAACAGTACTTTATTTTGTAAATTTTGACCCATTATTACTCCCAAGTTATATATATATATCTCTTTTTCAGCTGTTAAGTGTACAAGATGAAGAAAATTTTAGTTAGAAGGGGATGCACCTGGAAAATAAATTTTTTAAACTCCATATACACGTTTCAAAACTGCCGAGTCCCAAGTCCATTTATGAACTCTAGGGCTGCCAGAATCATGTGCAGCGTATTAAAGCTACACTATTTGAATAGCTTATTAATTCTGCATAAATCAGGTCAAGCAATGTGTCAACCTGTAACAGACTGTGCATTTTAACTGAACATGGCAATATATTCACTCTTTTGAACTTTACATCATCATTTGATGTCAAACAATGAAGCAAATCCCAACAGTATATACAAAAACAGCTTTGCATTTACAAAGGATTGTTTCCCATACTGATTAATCCAGGCAGCTAACTCATTGGTTTATGCAACTTTATTGAAGAAAAATAAATCAATTACTAGGAGAGCTATTAGTTGATCACTCATCCATTGACAACTTGCATCATTTATTCAGTGCTATATTAAACAGAATTGGAAGATAGATTAACTAATAGCTCCAAGCCTCCTAACAATTTAAATGAAAATTACAAAATGTTTTGAGACCCTATTTTGGAATACAAAGGGTGTTTTGACTTCCAATTTCCATTCTCTGTAGAACAAGAACAGGTCATTCCTTTATTGACATGCATAAAATACATCACATTTTCTGTTCTGCTGATGCTATAATTCAATACCAATTCTCCAGCCACATCAGTTATGAGCATAAAGTATATCATGTAACCTCAATCTCTAACAGTGGAAGGTTTAAACAAGAATGGATGCTGCTAGAATAATGCTGCTCCCTTTGGTGTGACAGCTGAGCATCCATCTCCCTCCCCCTCAGATGGCTTCTTCAGCATGTTAGAGCAGTGAGGATTGGTTTAGTCTCATAACCAAGTTAGAGTGAAGACATTGGCCACATAATACACATGCTCCAGTTTTAAAAAAAATTTCTGAATCTTGGGCAACTGTTCTCTTGAACTACTTTACAGTTTCTAAAAGCAGTTATTGTCCAAAGCTGGAAGAACTTAAGTCTTCTCAGATGAGCATGTGAATGAATGGAGGGAGGTAAACAAAAAATAAAATTAAAAAAGATGAGGTCTGATAGGGGAGCAGCCGGATAAGAAAATCAAAAAAGGAACAGTAATTTAAAGTTTATTCCAGCTATAATGCAGGTTATTCTGACTTTAAGGTAGCATCACATGGCATACTTCTGAGTCCATTCCCGAGATATTCTGTTGTACCTGTAAATAAACAAATAAGCTATTTAAAAAATAAAATTAAAATGAAGAATTATTAGTATCGTAAAGGCAAGAAAAATATTTCTATTTTACCTGTGGATTCACCTTACATCACCTGTGATGGCTATGGTTAGAATACAAGTCAACAAAGGATAGAAATAGCAGCATTGGCATTCAAAGCAGTGGGGGGGAAATAAGAGCCATTTAAGTGTTATCTTAATAAACACATGTGGTGCTGAGATTGGCAGGCTTAACAAGACCTCTCTGCCATCACTAAGGTAGTATTCTATCAAGCTTTCAAGTTGGTTGTACATGCGGACACATTTTTACAACATTAGAAAAAACTCTACTGTACAATTTAATACTGATTGTCAGAATGGTATGTAGTATACACGCTAGATATCAATAGAAATGTTGGCCAATGCTATAACTATGCATACACTGTTACAGAGTATGAAACCTAGAGATTCAGAGAAAATGCCTTTGAAACTTAGGCAGGAGAGTACTACATTAGAAAGGATGATAGAAACAGTAATTTTCAAGGAACGAGCTTTATTTTAAATAAAGTTTAGTAGCACTGACTGCTACTAATCCTCAGAGACCTGCTGAAGAATGGGAATCTCTAGGAATGCAACCACATTTTTGTTAGAAAAGATCACCAGATAACTCATCCGTATTACTGAGGAAGAACACCAGTATCGACAAATACCATTCCCACTGCCCCACTATCACTATCATATAGGCTATTTCACCCCAACCAAAAAAGTGAGAATACCTTAAAAAATGAGTACATCATAAAGAATAGGGGCAAACTTTTAGAAGGAATAATACCACTAGTTTCCTCTCAAACCAAGTTAATAGAGTTCAACTATTTGAAACAGCTCAACATATTAAAAAAAAAACCTCTTACCAATTCAGGATTATGGTATTTAGAAAACCCTCTTCAAACAGCCAGCATTTTAAAACAAACTTGTTTTGGTTTAGCATACAAAGAGCCACAAAATACAGTTAACATTAATGCATGCTTGTCAGTCAGTAATCAACATTTAGTTTGTGAAGTTTAAGTGTTTCCCTTTATATTACTGCTACCTTCCTGGTAAAACCCGAGTAAAACCACTACATTCCATATAGTATTGACACAAAATGTTTAAATTTAAACATCATAATAATTTAATGAAGGATACTCTTACACTTCTACTTCTTACTAAAGCTATATAACTGCTTTGCCATGCAAGAATCCCAAGCAGTAGTGAAGACTGAGTATAACTTTCAAAAAACAGAGATCAAGCAGTTAAGTAGTTTTCAGAAAACTGCCATATCCGTTACCTTCGGTTAGTTAATACAGTGCTTTAAAGCATGCAGCACTCAAGTGCTGGCAGTACCATAAATAAGCGCACCATAGAGTGCAGATCCTCTTACCCTACAACATAGCGTATTTCTCTGTCCACTCTCTTGCTAACCTATTGTACCTAATTGAATAAGCACACTTAGCATTAATTATAACATATGAAAGTTAAATGGTTGTTAAGTTGAACATAAAGATAAATTAAATATTTGATAAATTTAGACCAAAATTTTTACATTAGTATTTTTTTTCTTTCTTGTTTTTCTTTTTGTTTGGAGAAACATACTCGGGTTTATTTCCCCAAACTGAAAAATTAAGCAAGGGTTTAACATTAGAAAACAAACATTTCAAGGGAGCTACTGACTGTCATATACGTTATGAACATTTATTTGGCAGGGTCTCATTAGATAGCCTAGACTAACTTCAAACTTCTAATGCTGCAGCCTCAGCCATTATACTGGCCTCTTACTGCTTTTAATTGTGTTTTAGTAACTAACTAGCTTACCAGAAACAAACATAGAAAGGTACTGTCACAAATTTCAGCAGAAATAAGCTCAACTTGCTAAATAAAACTATTGTTTATAGTCATTCACTAAACAATTGCATACTTACTTATCTCTGTCTGTTTTATAGATCCGTGCAATCTCTGGCACTAGGGGGTCATCTGGGTTTGGATCACATAGCAGTGAACAAATGGATAAAAGAACTACAAGGGAAAAAAAAATCCAATTTCAGGTGTTTGGACAAGCAAACAACTATCATAATTAAATAACACCCAACTAAAGACAGGTTCAAAAACAGATACAGAAAATCTATACCAGATATTTGTTAAACAGAGTAGAAAGCTGTAAAGATTTAAACACTGGCTATATTTTCCTATTCTTGCTAAATAGATGGCCCAACAGTTATAGGCACATACTACAGAGTACAGTTTTGGTTTCCCAGCTCTTACTCTTGGTGTCCACACAACTGCCTATTAACTACAGCTCCTGGGGATCTAGTATTCTCTTCTGGACTCCAAGACATCTGCATTCACGTGCACAATACCACCCACAATTACTAGTTTAGAGCCAAAAGAACAGCGTATTAAAATTAATTTGGAAGCTGAGGCAATAGTTCAGTAGGTTAAGACCTACTTCAAATCCCCACTGTTTCTTCATGTAAAAAGCTGGGAACAGCTAGCTATGTGTGATTGTACCCTAGCATTGGTGGGTAGAGACAGCAAGACACTGAGAGTTACTGTGACAGAACCTATCCAAATGAAGTAGAGGAGAGGAAGACACCTCTGGCTTTTGTATGCACCAGATACACACTAAAAATAAACTTTGCCATTATGTGAAAATAACTTACGAGGCAAATGGCCTACCAACATAAAACTTTTGACAAAAATCCCCTTAAGATTTATTTTTACTGATGAAGTAACTAAAAACCCAAAACACCCAAACCCACTAACTTTTTTTTTTTAAAAGATCCCGATCTAGCTTCAGATTCATTATGCAACCAAGGATGATCTTGACTTCAGATCCACCTGCCCCTACTCCCAAAAGTGCTTTTGTTTAGGCATGTGCCACACCTGATTTATGAGCACTGGGGGGTGGAGTAGGAGAGGATTAAACAGTGGGCTCTGTGTATGCTAGGCAAGAATGTTATACCAACTGAGCTACATCCCAATCTTGCAAGCAACTTAATTAAAATGTTAGCATAATAAAGACATTATCCAAGCAGATGTCTAAAGCCTCTTAACTGTTAGACAGTCACAATAGCTGAAAACTATTATACTGAAACTGTCATTTTACCTTTAGAAATAGTTAAAGCAGGAGACCACTGTGATCTTAGAATATCAAGACAAATGCTGCCATTACTGTTAATATTTGGATGATAAATTCTTGTTGTAAATGCAACCTAAAAAACAAACCAAATGACACAAATAGCTTTAAATAGCTTTCACAAATAAAAACAAGTACTTTACACTTTAAAAAGCAAGGCTTAAAATACTAAGTCTCACCAGCAGTCATAGTAATGAGAGACTATATAAGAGGACAGGAGAATGTGATCAAAGCATAGACACACACATAAGAAAAAAATATATATAGTGAAAACTTCAACAGAATCAATTTTAGATAATAAAAGCTAATTTTAAAAAGTCAATAACAGCCTCATCAGGGAAAAAGCCATTAATTTAGCTCTGAAGGTTAACCCTAATAGTATAGTTTAACTATCAAAAGGCAATCTGTGAAAGGGAATTTAGGATACTCAATTTTAGGATACAGGGATACATTCAAATTGTATTTCCACTGCTGACACAACAAATTGAGTATGAGCTTTATACCCAAAGGAACTATTACACTGTACTTTTAACATGACTAAAGATGGTTAGAAAAACACCATAATTTAATGTATACTATTTTCTAGTCATTCATATACCATGAATTTGACCCAAGAGTTCTGAGAAAGAAAAAAAAAATCAAGGACTATATATGCTCTGAACTCATTACTCTGTTTTAGTCTACAGAATACCAGGACCAAAGGTGTTGTGTTACGGATCCAGCAACTTAGCCTTTAACACTATAGTCACCTAAGTGTATTAAAGCAACTGGAACATTTAGTAACACATAAGGCAAGTTGATTCTGCAGCTTACTAGAGACTCTAACACTTACCATAAGCATAGAAATACTTGAGCCTTGTAACTTCAAAAGAGCAAAAGTTTAAATCTTTGTCTAATTCTTAGAAGTTAGGAATAAGTAACAGCTCAGTATGTGGTATATTGTTAACCTTAGCGCTTCGAAGATGACAGCTTAGATGAAAAAGTTCTAGAATAGTCTATAACAGGAGTTATTATTTACAAAAATATAGCTTATTTCTCTATGTATTACTTATTTTTATTAAACATACATACAAGGCTTAAGCCTCATTTATACAGAAACCTAAATTTTTACGAACATTCTGTTCTTCTAAAACAATCCATACATAAACTAACAGATTTTGGAAGGACAATACTTGCCTTAGGTGGTTTGAAGGGGTAGTCTGTAGGAAAATGAATTGTCAAAAAGAATACACCACCTTGATATGGGCTGTCATTCTGTGAAGAGAAAAATAGGCTTAATATGTAAAGATACTTCCTTAAAGAGATGGCTAAACTGGTAAGCGCACTTGCCACACAAGTAACCTGAGTTCAACCCTTAGAACCCATGTAACAGGTGGCAGGAGAGAACAGACTTCAGTGTTGTCCTGTGACTTCTATTCACATGTCATAATGTGCACATATCCACACCCACAAAATGAATACCTATTTCAAATAATATTTAAAGTACCTTCAAGAAAGAGGCAGTACATATCTGAGAAAGTTTACTTTTCAACTGGCACCTTGAAATTCTTTCATAAAGCCATGAAAAATTTTCTTCTAAACTTAACATATCATATACTCTTGAAAGTCAACAACTAGCCGGGCGGTGGTGGCGCACGCCTTTAATCCCAGCACTTGGGAGGCAGAGGCAGGCGGATTTCTGAGTTCGAGGCCAGCCTGGTCTACCAAGTGAGTTCCAGGACAGCCAGAACTACACAGAGAAACCCTGTCTTGAAAAACCAAAAAAAAAAAAAAAAGAAAGTCAACAACTAGAAAACAAAATTTCAAACTACTAGTGCCCTTTTTTGTTCATTACAACGTGCACATAGATATTTAACCATACTAATATAAAGATTTGAAACTTACTGTGAGTTTTTAAAAAAAAAAAAGAAAAGAGAAAGACACCACCATTTCCATTCTATGAAATAAAATGTATCAAAAGATACAGCCCATTAGTGTACAGACAGTAAACTGTAAATGGGAGTTTAATTTAAAACTACTAAATTCCTCTTGAAGTTCACAAGAACTTATCTAAAGAGATGCTCTAAAATTTATTTAAACTAAATTATCAGAAGTAATCACTGCCTGCAAAGGTTGTATGTATGGCTTATGAAATTTCTTAATTTGCCAGTTCTAGATGTTAGAAAAACCACTTTTGTAAGTGAGTATGACTCATTAACTTTAAATCCTCTAGAAAAGTTCATTGGTTTGACATAAAGACTTGTAAACATAATTTTAACATGAGTAAGATAATACACAGGGTTCAGCAAAACATACAACATGGAAAAACTATTATTTGAACTCTACAGATTGCTTTAGTTTTTTCCCTCTTTAGGTGTATGGATATTTTGCCTTAAAAGTGCCCTTAACCACTGACCCATCTCTTCAGCCCCAGACCTCCTGCTGTCTTTTGTCTGCTCTGGTCCTACTGTACTGGGGATGCAACATAAGACTGTGCCCGAGCTAAGGAGGCAGTCACTTACTTCACCTCCAAACTATGCCCACATGTTAAAACTATTTGTTTTCTCAGTCAAGATCTCGCTACCCCAGGCTCATCTGCCTTGTCCTTCATAAACATATATAGGCATTACAGGTATATGCCATTAGTGCTCTCTGCAAAATGTTCTCACTAAAAGACAAAGCCCATCAAACACTGCAACACATAAAAACTACATGGGAAAAAAATCCTTAGGTACCCAGAATGTGACCTAAATTTGAGATGAGTATATTTATTATATCTAAGTTTTCATTTCTAAGTTTCCCACAACCACATGTTAACTCCTGAATAACAATCTACAAGGATAGTGGGTGAGATAGCTCAGCTGGTAAAGCCTGCATTGACAATATACCAGTTAACCAGAGATCAATCCTTAGAATCTACATGGAAGGCAATGGTTCAAAGGGAGAGGTAATCTTCTAACTTTAACATAAACATCATGGCACATACACAAATGCACTCACACACGTGAATAAAAGTTAAAAATATCCAGTACTGAAATTTATAGGCAAAGCCAAAATACTAAAAAAACAACAGAAAAGCAACTTACAGGGTAAAATCTCAATGAGACACTAAAATCCTACCCTATTAAGACAAAACCCCAAAGGGAACAAAAATAATGGGTATTCTGAACTGATTGCCATCAAATTTTGAAACCCCAGATTTGAATAGATTTAGAATCTCTACCTTACTTTTGTTCCTATTGGCTTCTTTTGTTTCCTAACTATTTGTTCTCTATGGCATTCAATAATTTTGCATGTGTCTACAGATCCATTCTCTGCTTTTAACCTCTAACTCATCAAGTTTTACAGTTTTTGTCTTCTTCTGTACTGTGTCTATTTACTTCTGGTCATATTTTCTTTTTTTTGTTTGTTTTTGGTTTTTCTGGTCATATTTTCAAGCCTAAACATACTTGTCTACTTGATAATATGCATTCAAATCTCAAACTCCTATGTCAATTCCATTCTTCCTAAAGCACAAAAGAACACAGAAAATAGGGGTCTCATACATGATCCCTTTATTTGATTTGCAGTCCTAAAGAACTCAAAACAGTGTCATGCACAGTGGCTTCTTATGCCTGTCATCTACGGACTTTGAAGGCTGAGGCAAGAGGGTTGCTAAGAGTTTGAAGGTTGTAATAATTTCTAAGCCAGCCTTAGTTATACAGTAAAGTGAAGTCCTGTCTGTCTGTCTACCTATACACACACACACAAACACCCACACACACAATTTAAAAATTTCTTGAACTAGCTGCTTCTTATTGGCCATATTTTAGCTTAAAGAGGAAAATTTCACACATCGCATTAACTGTGATAGTATGAAATGACATAAAAACGTGAAGTTGGCCCAATAACTCGTATAAACTGATAGTTTTATTTCAGATTTTCTCATTTATAGTTGATTATCCTCTGTCCATTACTGATAATGCTGTAATGCCACAGAATAAAGTGGAGGTTATTATTTCCAAATCTTTTTCTGCCAACTACCTTTCAAATTAAAGAAAAGTTAATTAACCACACGAGAGACAGGGAACTTATTTCTGATGACATGAAGCATTAACAGGATTACTGTCAATACAAAGACCCTCCTTTCCCACATGTGGTTCCCATTATCTTAAGAAATAAACCAGCACACCCCATAGTAACTTCAAGCATTTGTGTGAATTTTCAATTGATTCAGAATCATTTGAGTATAACTTAATAAAATTCAAGTTTCTCTTTACTGACATTTAAGTAAAATTTAAAAAAACAAAACCAGGAATCTCTACACACAATCTGACTTAAGGTAGTATTCCAAAAGAAACCATTTTCTTATTATCCAGATGTAATGAACAATCTGCAAGTGATTTTATCACTGCCCTGTTTTAGTTTACAACTGCAATTTCACAAAGACATATTTATATGCCAAAACACGAGTTCTTTTTATTAGTGTAGTCACTATAGTTAAAAAGTATGAATGAAATGGGCAGAGTATACGACAGGTATATAAGCCACTAAAAAGAAGACAGTAGCTGTTGTCCCATTCCTAAATCATTATGTTTGTGCAGTGAGCATCTATCTAGTCAGAGGGGCAAGTTTCCCAAGCAACTAAATGTCAAATAGTCTTAATAAACAAGTCAATGCTTAAATGTTAAGAATATACTCAACTGTGACTAAAACAAAAAGGCACTTTTAAATCAAAAGACTAAAAAACAAAGACCTGTGGCCTTTTGTTAAAGATAAACCAATACTAGCCTGCTCCCATGATTTTAATTTTAGTATACTTTTAATTCTAACATATTACAATTACTCTTGAACTGCTGTCAGAGTCATGAGTTTTTCCTTCTATGCATTTTATTACTTGAGTATCTTATACTCTAATATGTCAATTACCTGCTTCCCTATATTAAAGTCCCTGAAGGCTAACAGATTGGTTTACTCATACCTTTATCCTCATCACACAGCAGGTGCTTGCTCACTTTCATTGAGCTAGAAAATGAGTAAGGTTATTAAAACCAGGTAAAGGTGACTCATGCTTGTTAATTCTAGCTTTCAGGGTCCTGAGGTGGGAGGGGAGCTGAAAATTTGAGAACACCCTGGATTACAACTCTGTCTGAAACAAAACAAACCCAAATAAACCAGTCTTTTCTTTTAAAAAAAATCAAGAATTCTGAACTAGATGTGAAATACTCAATACTGAGATATAGGTAATCAGGAGGCTGTGGAAGGAATTCAAGACAGGATGAGACTGTTGTCTCAAAAAAGGTCAATCCAGGGTGTGTGAAATAACTCCATGAGTAGTAAGGAAGGGCACTTGCCATTAAGTCTGACACCAGTTCAATCCCTGTGACCAACATGGAAGTAGAGAGATGACTTTTCCAAGTGAATTCCCTGATCTCTGTGCACATGTACAGTAAAATAAATACACTTAATACTTTTTTTTTTTAAGTCAACTTAAACCTGGAAAGTATTTGTTGATCTAACCCATCTAATTAATTACTAGGTCAAACTTTTCCAAAAATATTTCTTTTAGAATTATTAATACGTACTTAATGACTATTTTTTTCCTACCCAGGAATAATTTACATTACTACCTGCCATAAGATACGCATGTGACTTAAGAGATCCTAAAATGCCCTTTAAAGTTAAGAACAAACAAAACAACCAATCTTACTCAAGATGTTTTAGATCAGTCTATTTCTCTGAAATTCTTAGATGGTTATTCATAATCCTAAACATTCAGTTATCCAGCATATAGTTTATCTACCCAGGATAGAAAGGAATTTTGGTACCTTCAAAATATCAAGTTCTGCCGAAGTAGATTAAAATTTTGTATAAATCTATAGGGCTATTAAAAAAAATAACGATTATTGTAGATTCATTCTTGGCAGTTATGATGCTTTGAGGAACAACCCACAGTAGAATCCTTCCTTCTAGAGCTCAATAACTGCTCTTCACTGCCATACAGAAAACTAAGACTGAGACAAAACAAGGGATTTTGTGGATGCAGAGATGGTACCCCAGGATATAACCAGAGATACAAATATAAGGAACAACTTTTCATTTTCTTTAATTAAATAACAGTGTTGATATGTCATATCAGAAATACAGTAACTATGTATTAATAATGCCAAAGACTAAAAATTGTGATAAAGAGAATGTTGAATTTTCAGAAAAGCAAAACTGAAAAAAATACTTACAGGTCCCATAATTGTGGCTTGCCAATGAAACACTAGAAAGAAGAGGAAGGAGAACAAAACAAAAACTTCATTATCACAAAAACATACAACCTTCTGAAGTTAGTCATTAAGAAGAAACTAAGTTACTTACTGTCATCTCCAACTGGACCTGCAGAACATTGTGCTGGAGGGTCACGGGCCAAATCACTAAGTTCCTAAAACCAAGACAGAAAATGGTAGGTTATGGAACCTAAAATTTATGAAAAGATATGCAGTTGAATATCAAACTTTTAAATTCCATTCAAAGGGACATAAAAACCACTGTAATGAGGACAATATGTGCCAGAGGGGAGAAAGACATCCCAAGTAATCTTAAATCCAGCTCCTGAAATATAGAAAGACACTAAGCATTACTTGTTTAACAGACACATGTTGAAACAATCACCTTGGGACGCATTTGTCTTTGTCCTGTTAATTTTTCTTTTACTATATTTTTATCATACAAAAGATATCTCTGAACAAAATAAAGTAGTAGCAATAAGATGCTTTCAAGTTTACAAAATTAAGCAAGGCTAGATCAACATTTCTTTTGATGAACTAACTTTTCAGACCATCTTAAATGTTCCCTTGTCTGTCTTAAATTCCTTTTTCTTCCCAAAAGTCTAATTTCATTACCATGTCAAACACTTTATAGAGCTAAATACTCTAATTTTATATTTAAATTTTCTAATTAAGGTACGCTGTTAATTCAGTCCTCATTTTTTACCTATTTTTAAAACTCAGATTTGGAAGACAACTTTTCTAGGCAGAAAATGAAATTTTCACAATTTCATACAATGTGTCTCTAACATATACATGTATATATACCTAACCCTCCAATGACCTACAATGCATGTAACAAATACATAGAGTGCTTTGTATAAAAGTAGTTTCCTGTCTTAGACTTACATTTCTCTCTATGGCCCAAGTCAGTAAGAGCCACCTTTCAATACCCTTTCCCCAAAATACAGGTGTAGCTTTAAGTTCTTTATATTTACTTTGCCTAAGTATGGAAATAGTCATTAAACAAACCAAAACAAGGCTGAACGCAGTCATAACTAGAAAGCAGTGGTAGTCTAACGACCTCAAACAAGCCAAGCCATGCAATCTATTAACAAACTACATTTCCAACTCAAATCAATTCTGCCTGGTTTGGGTTCAATCTTCCAATCTAAGCTAGTTATCCTGCCCTCTAGCCTTCCAAGCAGCCAATAAAATGCATACCGTGTGTTGCTTAAAACATACAAATAAAGGATCACCTTGGCCAGTATTATCAATGTACCACATCAATTCATTTAACTGAACATATTAATCTTTCCTCAACTAATTTAACTGAACAATTTTACAAAGTACAGGATATTCTGAATAAGCTCACTTTCCTCAAGCATGTATCAAGTGAATGGAAGAGAAATTTCCAACTTAAATTCCAGAAAAACAGCTACCTTGGTTAAGAATACACCAAATCTTATAGCTCTTGTTAAAAGCACGTACGATCATCATTGTAAAGTAACAAATTCAAGAAACTACTAGTAAAACCAAAGCAGTTTTTAATAATATATTTTCCAGAAAGGGCAAAAAATGACTACAGAGCTGATTTGACCCAATATTTTAAATTCCTGATACCTTTTCCCCATTCACAATACAGTCAATCTCCAATCTATTGGTTTAGGAGGCAAAGCCTTATTTAAGAAGTTTTGGGCTTGAGACCATCCCATTTCTGAAGACAGTGTTCTCGTGTTCGTTCTCTCTCTCTCTCTCTCTCTCTCTCTCTCTCTCACACACACACACACACACACACACACACACACACACAGAGACTGTAGCTGTCAACTAGTGGAGGAATGCACAGCTCATACTGAAAATAGATCCTTAACTATTCCTTACATAATAAACAAGCTATTATGACCACTACAGAATAGCAACACACTATACAGACTACACACACCTATGCCATTTTACTCAGTGTTCTAGAAATCTAGAGACTTTTTTTTTTATAAAGATTTATTTATTTTATTTGAGTACACTGTCGTTATCTTCAGACATGCCAGTAGAGGTCATCAGATCTCATTACAGATGGTTGTGAGCCACCATGTGGTTGCTGGGAATTGCACTCGGGACCTCTGGAAGAGCAGTCACTGCTCTTAACCACTGAGCCATCTCTCCAGCCCCATTTTGTATATTTTAGATATATACTTATTGTATATGATGCACATGAATAAAAAAATTCCTAAATTTCAAGTATGGATACTCCATCATGTACTATATTTGTTAAACACAACCCAAAGACCATGTATCTTTTCTCCTTGCCTCTGCTTTGCAAGTGCTGGAATTAAAGGTACACGCTATCACTCCCACTCATCCCCCTTTTATTGGAGAAAGTAATCATACAAAACTTGAACTCTCACTTATGTCCTGCACCATTAAAAGAACACTTAAGCTTCAATAAATTCAAATTTCTAAAATGGCCATTGAACTCTGTTTGCCTGTTAAATCCATGCATATTTTCCCTATCATAATTCATGGTGAAGTTTACACCTCCTACCATTTAAGGTATTTACTGAACTAAATATGCCAGAACCAACAGGCACAATGGTGCATACTTTTGATCCTAGCACTTAGAAGGCAGAATCAGGCAGATCTGTGAAGCCGGCCTGGAATACCTAAGAGTGTCTCACAAAAATCAATGACAGGTAAGTATAGAGGACATTTACTTTGCATACTCAGCAGATGCTGCCTTGGTTTCATCTACTAAAAAGCACATGCAATTAACAGAATTCTCTAACATATAATTAACTCTAAGACTAGCAAGCCTCATTTCCTAATCCTTTTCACACAAACACCCTCTCCCTTTTAAAGGACTGCATGCAAAGCTCAATGATACAGAGGTTCAGATGAGAGCCTTAAGTCAACCTTGTCCTTCAACCTATGTGAATAAAAATAACACTAGCTGTTTCTGCTAGCTGTATGGTATGCACCAACCAGGTATGCTATGGCAATAGCCTATGGACTAAGAAATTAGAAATGTGATGTGTAAACCAGGAGTGAGGGAGTAGAAGGCTTAAGAGTCAACACGCATGGAAGGCATGAGGGGACAATAATTTTATCTCTTTTTCACACTAGTGGTTCTATTATTTCTCCTTAAGATTTCTGTGATTATATGAAAAAATGGCTGATATGTCAAATACATCAGCAAAATGAGACCTTTGCAAACACAATAGTATAACACCAGACTATTAGATGGAGTGAAAACAAGGCTGCTTCTTTTTCTCTTGTAACCCTGGAGACAGAATCCACAACTGCTTCACACACCCAAGGCAAACTCTTTAGCAATTCACCATGAGCTATATTCTTATCCCAAACACAAAACTGAGACCATTCAAGAGTATGAAAAACCTTATTTCTGTGCATGTATGTGTATCTGCATGAGCTGATAGCTCCTAAGGGAGCTACATTCCCTTAGGTCTCTACAGAAGCCAGAGGGCAACAGATTCTTTGGAATGGAAATTATAGGCTGCTGTAAGACATCCGATATGGGGGTTGGAAATGGATCCTAGGCCTTGTGTAAGTGCTCTTAACACCAGAACCGTCTCTAGTCACTAACAATATTCTTTTAAATGAAGGAATTTCAGAAGCATTTTTAAATGCTTGTGGTATATCCCAACAAAAATGTAAAAGGGCTAGAGAGATGGCTCAGTAGTAAAGAGGACTGGCTGTTGTGGAGGACTCAGGTTCAGTTCCAGCACCTGACACCCTCTTCTGGTCTCTGTGCACCTACAATGTGTGTTGTGTGTTCTCCCCCCCCCCCCACACACACACTCCTTTTAAAAAATTTACTTTTGAAAAAGCATATACTGAGCAATGCAGCATAAAACATGCCTTTTCCCATCCTAATGCTAGGCACAAAATACAGAATATCCCACCAAAAAATCCATAAGCAGTGCTGTTTATTGCCTCAGAGTTTCAAAAGCTTACATGCCTAGATTGGCCTTATGTGTTCAACTAATCCTCCACCTCAGCATCCTGACTCAATGTAGAAAGTAAGGATAATGCTAAAAAGATTTGTGATGTAAGAAAATAAAGCACGAAGTCAGAATTAAGTAAATCTGGTTAACATCTGGGTAAAGCAGGCATCTGATCCCCACTCAGTTGAGTTAATCAGGATATGAAAATCTTAGTTAGGGAGGATACCCCAAGATGGTTGACATAACTCCAATGATAAAGTTCTAAGAATGTACTCTGAAATAATCTAACATTTAGAATAGATTGAGTACCCTCAAAGTGACTAAGAACTTCTAGAAAAAAGCAAGCAACAGACTTTTAATGCTAGTATCAATTAAGTAAACTCAACCATTAAATATTGTAAGAAGAATGAAACATCTAATTTTGCTAACAAGTCATTTCAACAGACAAAACAGCCCTGATATACCTCTGCTAGTCAGTCTACTTCTGAAACATAGGGCCAGCTGCTTATATAGTAACTAAACAGCAAAAACAAACAAAAAAAAAAAACCAAAAAAAAAACCCTCAATCTACAATCTTAGACCCTTCACATGCAGTTTGCCATGAACATATGCCATACTATTTTCAACTTATTAATAGGATAAAATTCACCTTACCTCTGATTAGTTTTAATGAAATAGTGCATTGGAGGAAAAATGTTAGGGGCTAGAGAGGTGGCCTATAGTTCTCAGCACGCAACAGCAGGCAGCTCATAACTACCTCTAACTCTAGATACAAGGAACCCAATGCTCTTTTCTGGCCTTGGAAGGCAAGGTGCATCTCTCTCCACATACACTCACCCTAAAAACCTTAAAAAGAAAATGATACTAGGTAAAAATAATGTTAATTACCTCAGGCAAGTGAGTTATAGGAATATTTGAGACAAGAAATGTCTTAGCCTTCATATACACATACAGGATTTTGAAACAACTGCATATACAGAAGATATTGTGAGGCCTAAGTCTAAACACAGAATTCATGTTGTTATTTCATACATACCAGCTATGTCAAAGATATTTCAGTGAATCCGGTTACAGGATACTGGGTGTGCAACCTTCAACTTAAAACTTTAAGGTGTGTTCCTAAGAAGCCATGAATTTTGGACAGGCTCTTTTCAAGTACTCAATCTCTTTTTAAAAACTGAACTTTGCTGCTTTTAAATTAATCAACTGTGTAG